AGATATGATTCATAAAGGCACTCATCCCTCAGGTACAGTGAAGAGAAAAGAACACATTGTATGTAAAATGCTTAGTCTGGTGTGCCTACTACAGGTCTGTTCAGCAATTGTAGCTTGCACCTTTGGAACTGGGCTAGATTTCTGGTGCTCAAGGATCTGAAGAGTCACATGCTTGCTACAGTGTGCCAAAATGGTGAGGGAAAATTCCAGAACGATCTCATCCCCCGGGTCCCCAGCACCGCAGCTGTTCTCATTTATCTCTATATTCTTCCAGGCCCTGTTTATGCAGAGCACTTTCTGAGCGTTGTAATTACCATGCTTGCGCCAGTCCCCTCTGCATGACATCATCACCATTCTCCTCAGTGGCTAAAGCTGGCACGGATTAGCATTTGCCATAATGTGTCTATTTCCATGCTGTTAACAATCTGGGTGGTTTATTACTATTTTTTTCACTGATTCATTCAGAAAAGTTATTGAGTGCCAACTCTTTGCCAGGCACTGAACTTAGGCATTGGGATAGTATGGTCTTCACGAACAGTGCATTCTTTATCCTGGACACCTAGACTCTGGTGAGTTAGACATAAAAGGAAAGGAGGACATAAAAGTCTCACTCTAAGCTGTGGTCAGTGTTGGGGTGGGGGTGGGGAAGAAAGCTTCCTGTACCCCCCTTGTGTCTCTGGGGACAATAATCCTGGTCCCTATCCCAACCTGGTTTTTGCTACTCAGCATCCACAGTACCCTTCTCTTACAGGAGCCCCCATTTCGGGTGAGATTTTTCTAGGGACACATTTTAGGGTTTCCTGAAAGGAGACGCTTCAGGATGCCCTCCAGAGGGGCTCAAAGCCCTGACCATTGAGCTCACATGTGATTTCTCTGTCCTTCTCCCTTTCTTCAAGGCTTGTCTTTCAATCCTTCCAGGCTGCTCCAATCCTCATGAAAAAACCAATGATGACCTCCTTGTACTCACCCGCAAGGTGCCTTATCCTTGTGTTCTCTCTCAGTACAGGACCTCCATGGGCCCTGGGAGCCTTTGAGCCAGTAGGTAAACACATCCCCACTTGATAGATGGACAAAGCCTGAATGGGCGGGGCTTATTGGGTTGCTCTCCTCATGGGTAAGCCTGCACTGGATTTCCGCTCACCTCCCCCCACCCCCATTCCAGACTCCTCATGTGACTGTAGCACTCTGCCCACAGCCTCTGCCATAACCACCCAGGACTGCCTGATTCCTCCTCTGTCTGCTTAGTGTCTGTGTCTTATGCACAGCCTGGCCTGCCTTTCTCATGCACACTAAATTCCTCATTCCTTGAACTTCGAAGTCATTTTTCTCCCTTTTACTCTTGGCTTCATCTAATACTTCATGTTGCATCTTGTTTTCCTCTCTTATTTCATCGGAAGGGGTCTGATGTATTAGTGATCAGAGGTATCTCTGATCAATTACACTGAACACTGAAAGAGAAGCAGGCAGATGTAGAGAGCAAGAATGTTCCAGATGGAGGGAAAAGCATGTGCAAAGACCCTGAGGGAGAAGAGGTCTGGGGATGTAATATAAAAATAACTCTGAGATGATTTTCCAAGACTTGGTAAGTAAAGCTGTAAGGAACTCATTAATCAATGCACTCATTCTACTTTGTGGGGACCACTGTGCTCTGGTGTCCACAGATGGGTGGAGATAGAGATATATCAGCCCAGGTTCCTCCTTGCCCAGACTCATGGGGAAGGAAGAGACAATTTCTATGTAGTGTGGTGGACCATGGCGGAAGGTTATTTCTTATGTCAGTAGAGGAGAAGAGAGTGTAGCATGAGAAACGCTCATGCAAGAAGACACCCAAGATGAGTCCAAGTTTTGTGGGCAGATACACAGAGAAGGGTAAGTCAAGGCAGGAGGAATAGTATGGACAAAGGCACAGCGGGGCAGAGGGGGGAGCGATGTCAGGAACAGCAATCAGGAAAGGGTTTTTAGGACAATTAACATGCTGGGGCCTTATAGATGGTAGGCAGTTGGGGGCGATTCTAAGCCAGCAAGTGAAAAGTTTGGCTTCATGTGGAAAGCAGATATAGATATGATGGAAACTGAAGAAAGACCCATAGGAAGACGGGCGAAGGGTTGTGATAAGAGGAAAGGGTAAGAAAGGAGAGAGGGAGCCATGTTTCCATGTAAAACCTGAGAGACAGGCTGGTTTTACAGTCAGGGAGAAGGTAAAATTTGGCTGAGTGAAGACAATGCTATTGACTTAAGCTAAGGACACCAGGAGGAGAGACCGGATTTGGGGAAGAAGGTGATGGAGTGTAGGAGGGGTCAGTGAGGGCTTCTTTTTGGTACCACGGACAGCTCCAAAGGGTGTTGGGAGGCTTGAAGTAGACGCCATCTGTGGAACTTTGATCCTAGCTGCCTCAGAATCCACCCAGGAACTCATCGAACGCTTTGAGTCTTAGATTGTATTTTGCATCCAAGTGTCTGGGTTGGTGTTCCTAAGCCTGCATGCTAAATAAGCACTCCAGGCTAGCTGGTGTAGGTGGTCAGATGACCAGACATGAAAGAAACATTGAACTACTGTCACATGGTCTCCCAGGGAAGAGAGTACACATCGCTGCCTCAAAGGAGGCCTGGACCTCTTCAGGCTATGGCATCTTATTCACCAAGTGAGATTCTGGGCCAAGTATAGCAACAAGAAGCCTTATAAAGACGAGAGAGGAAGTGGAACCACTTCCTTCTAGAACTTCTATGTTCCTTTCACAAAGTTCACTAGTGCAGTCACAAGTCACCGGGGTCAGTTTCCAGTGCTCTTTTCAACTCCATTTGCTGAAAACATGAGCAAAACCAAAACAAATGTGGTTCCTTCAGGTGCATGAGGAGAGTCTCTTTCTTGTATTAGCTTTTTTAAAAAAAATGCACTGCAACCCACAAGAAGTGAAAGCAGAGGCTCAAGGAGATGTGTGGGCAACAAAGTTAATGACAGCATCATCCACAATAGCTAAGAGGTGTAGACAACTCAAACGTCCCAGGGCAGCTGAATGGATAAATAGGGTGTTTGACTACAATAGAATAGTAGTAACCTTAAAGGGGAGTGAAATTTTGTCATCTTCTGGAACATGGAAGAATTTAGAAGACATTACAGTAAATGACGTAAGCCAGATACAAAAGGGCAAATCTCATAAGATTGCAGTTATATTAGATACTTAGAGAAGATAAATTCATCAAGGAAGAAAATAGAGCAGTGGTTTCCAGGAGCTGGGATGGGAGGGGGGATAATTAGGAGTTGTTATTTCATTGACACATTTCAGCAGGAGGAAAAGAAGTTCTGGAGCTGGCTGGTGGTGGTGTTTGTGTAATAATTATGTGGGTGTGTAACTGAAAGCCACTGAACTGTGCAATAAAAGTAGCTAAAATACTAAATTTGCACTAAGAGCAGATTCAAGACATTTTTTTTTTTTTTTGTCAGTCCTGGGGCTTGAATTCAGGGCCCGGGCACTGTCCCTGAGTTTCTTTTGCTCTACCACTTGAGCCACAGCACCACTTCTGGCTTTTTCTATTTATGTGGTACTGAAGAATTGAACCTAGGCTTCGTGCATGCTAGGCAAGCACTCTACCACTAAGCCACATTCCCAGCCCTCAAGACGTATTTATAAAAAAACAAACCCAAACTAAATTCTTTTTTTTCTGTAATGTTTTTTATTCTATTAAAAGAATCACTTTAATGTAATTATATATGTATTAGTCTGCTATTGCATTCAGATTTCAGGAAGAAATTTCATCCAAACTAAAATCTTTATGAGAAGTCATTTTGTTATTTTTCTTCCTGAGAGGTAGAATCCTGGTTTGTTTTTAAGCTCAACAACCAATTGAACATTTGCTAAGAAGAAGCCAGGAAACATTCAAAAAACAAGTCTTTGATTCCAAAGAACTCACAGTCAAAAAACATTACTATTTTCCCTAGAAACAGAAGTTGGAGTTGCCATGCAGAAAAAGAAAAGATTTGATTAAAAAAAATAACTTTCTTATCTCATACTACAATAAAGTAACAATAAGGAAACAAAACAAAACAAAACAAAACAGGAGTTGATGTCCTTGATTCCACTGGGAGTCTGTAAGGCGTCTCCACTCCACAACATGGGAGTGTTCCCTGGGAACAGAGGAAGGCCTCGCCCCACTCCATCTGGGGTTTCTCCCAGGCCCAGAGATGCCCTCCCCCCCCCCCCCCCCCCCCCCCAGCCTTCTCTCATCCCATCCACGGAACCCCTGCTGCTTCCCAGGGCCCGCACCACGAACAGCCATCACCAGACTGAGCAAGTTCCCCAAGAGCTGTCCCAGGCCGGACGCTGGTGGCTCAGCCCTGTAATCCTAGCTATTCAGGAAGCTGAGATCTGAGGATCGCAGTTCGAAGCCAGCCCGGGCAGGAAAGGCCGTGAGACTCTTATCTCCAATAAAACACTAGAAAACCGGAAATAGTGCTGTGGCTCAAAGTGGTTACAACGCCCAGGCCCTGAGTTCAAGCCCCATGACCGACAAAAGCAAAAACAAAAAAACAAGAGACAAAAAGAGTTGTCCAGCCTGTGCATGTGGGGCTGGGGAAACTGAGTCTCTTATTTGAAACAGGTGTCACTCCTCTCGTGAGCCTCCCCCCAGCGCTCAGCGTCGCGTCTCACCTGCTTCTAGTCCCGGCCAGGCACTGAGCGCTCCAAAACCTAGAGCCGGCCTGGGTGGGCGGGGCCGCGCCGCGCTTGCCCACTTCCAAGATGGCCGCCGCCGCCTCTGTGACAGCCCCGGTCACGTGAGCGCCAGCCGCCTATGAGGTCGCAGGGGCTCGGTCGGCGATTGTCCCTTCCCGGGCCCCGTCCGAGGCGGCGACTGTCCCTGTCACTGGGAACCGGGGCGATCATGGCAACGGGCTCGGGCGGGGAGCGCGTGGCGGCGGCGGCCACTCGGTCGCGGGCCGGAGCGGCGGAGCAGCGGTGGTGGCGGCGGCGGCGGCAGCGGCGTTGGCACCGGCCATGAGCGCCATGAGACGGGGCAGCTGCGAGCGGGAGCTGGCGGCGCGGTGGGAGGCGGAGGCCGTGGCCGCGGCCCGGCGGGAGACGGAGGCCAGGGCGCTGGCGGCGCTGGGGCAGGTCAGCGTGGACGCGGGAGCGGCCGGGGAGCCCGAGCGCAAGGAGGGGGAGGAGGAGGCCAAGGCCCGGGCCCCGGCGCGGCCCCGCGCGGCCGAGGAGGGCGACGCCCGCGTGTCCCCGTCCAAGCCGAAGCCGGCCCCGGCGCTGACGCCGACGCCGACGCGAGGCCTCTGCCAGCAGGGGAAGCCCAGGGGCAAAGGCCGCGGCTGGAAGCGGAGCTCGGGCCGCAGGGCCGACGACGGCGGCTGGCAGCGGGTGGTCACCGTGGACAGCTCCAAGGCCAAGACCTCCCTGGAAGCCCTGAAGATCAGCATCCGCCAGCTCAGGTGGAAGGAGGTGAGGCCCGGCCCCGCCCCGCGGGGACACGAGGGGGGGTGGACAGGACGACCTCGGAGGACCCGGCCCAGCACCGGCGGCACCACCGCGCCATGCCTTGCTGGTCAGCTGTCCTTCAGGGCCTGACCCCCAGAGCCACTCTGGTCAAGCTACCCACTCCTTCCTCTGGCTCCCCTCCAGCTCTTACCTGTTTTCAGCCCTCAGCACTCACCTGCTCCCCTCTTTCCTGTTAGATTGTCTGTCTGTCTGTCTGTCTTGGCCATCTTTGAGTCCGTGGGCTAGAACCTCTTCTCTTGGATACCTATTAGTTTAGTGCTTACAGTCCAACTCTTGGGCACCTTAACAGTTGCTTTTGGGAGGCAGACAGACGAGGATCTCCTGGGCCCAGCTCCTGAGCCGTCCCATCTAGAGCAAGTTGTCTTTCCTCTTTAGTCCTTTACCCTCTCTGATGCCAGTAATATCTATGGCATCATTTTGTTATAGTATCAGAAAACTTCTGAGTGTTGTAGTGCACATACATTCAATAGATCACTGCCTTTTTAAAAAAACCACCCTCCACACCATCACCATTATCTCCACCATCACCATTATCTCCACCATCACCAACAACCAGTATCACCATCAGTGCAGGCACTTGATTTATGATTCAGGACTTGGCATGTAGCAGGTGTCAGTGAGTGGTGGATGGAAGGGTGAATAATGGTTGAGTTACTCATCCGTGAGCTAATTTTAGTCCCGTTGGAATATGAGGTGAAGCACCAATGATTTCCAGAGGCTTCTATGGTGGTTGAGTAAATAAAGCCGTTTATTTCAGCAATGTACAGAACTATTTAGTGTGCTTTCAGGAATATCAGGATTTTGAGTTAGGGTAGTCAGATCTTGAGACTTTGACCAGGTAGTCTGCTGAAAGTAAGAGGAGTCTGCAGCTGACAACTGAAGACCCAGGTACTTAGCCTTGGGGCTGGGAACTTTGTCCCTTACTCAGATACTTAGCTGTAGGCCTGGATATGGTAAGCATTCAATAATGACTTCATGAAGTTGGAACTTGCAGAGATATGGCCACAGAAAGGATCTATGTGGATAGAGAATTGATGTTCCACTCAGGGAGGAGTTATTTGGTTTGGAAGGAAGTTGAAAATCGGGCTGGTAGGACTTCCAGGAGTAGGAGTTAGCTATGGGAGGAAGTCTGACTCAGATATCAGGGACCTCAGTCTTGGGTGTATGTGATTAAGGAAACCTGGGCTAGGCAAAGTAAGGGTCCCAGTTTATGATCTGGATTCTTCTAGACAAGGTTCTAGGTCCAAGGCAGAGATACAAAAGCCAGAAAGATGAACCTGAATGTGTCAGTGCTGTAGTCCTAATGAAGACAGAATCTGCAGACAGAAACCAGCCACAGAGTCAGGCAAGGGAGCTGGCCCAAGAAGGCCTGTGTTCAGCCTGACCCTGTGGGAAGAGAGAGACACACACAAGGTAGGCTGGGTCTTGTTAGGCCAGATAGACTCGGTCAGTTCAGCCCAGGCTCATTCATTCATCTGTGTATGTTCACTGTGGTGATACTAAGTCCGTTACTGGGCCATGGGGATCATATTTAAGAGGTACCCTTGCCCTCATAGACTCCACAAGTCAGTAGGGAATAAACGCAAGTAAAGCCATTGCTGTTGCTTCCTAAAATTCTCATTTCCCAGTTGTTTACATGGCTTACCCTGTCACTGCTTCAGCTCTCACCAAATGCCATCTCCTTAGAGAGTCCTGAGTGACATCCCTACCAGTCTCCAGCCCTTGCTGTGTGGTGTTTTTTTTTTTTTTTTTTTGGTTGTTGTTGAATAGCACTAAACTCCTGGGCATTATTTCATGTACTGTTTGTTCATTGTTTCCCCCACCAGAATGGAAGCTCCACGAGGGCAGGGGCTTTGTGTGTGACTGCTGTGTACCAGCCAGTGCTTGGCTTATGGAAGTTGCTCAATAAATATTTGTTGAATGGATGAAGACATTATGTGATGAGTGTTTCTCTCTCGATATGTGAAGGTGTTAGAGCCCAGGAAGGCCACCTCCAGCAGGGCTTCCTGGATCATGTAAACCCCAGCTGAGTCCTGAGTGCTGAAAATGGGCCAGAGTTATTTGGGGACATGGACTTCGGTCCCTGGTAGAAGGAGTGACATTTGGGACTTGGACAGGGTGGTAAGAGAGCAGGGGTCAGATCGTATGTCACACTGTAGGGTTTGGGATTTCACTTGGAAGGAAGCCTATGTGAGCCATGGTAGGACTTGAAGATTCTTCCATCTATCATCCGTGTGAGCTGGGGGGCAAGAGAATTAATTCTTCAGACCTCAGTTGGTTTATCTGTTTTACGAGGTAGAGCTGAGAAATTCAATGGTGCCCAATGTCAGCTTGCATGAGACTCATACCAGGGAACCCAGTAGGATGGGCAGTTTCCAGGGCCCTATGTGTGATGTTTCCCTCCACCCCAGGTATGTAGGTGGAGGTGTTCATTCTAGCATATTTGAACATGATCTATTCACAGTAGTGAGACTTTAGCAGATATAGGATGATATATCAGATACAGGATGATGTATTTAGTGCCAGCCTTCCCACTAGTCTGTGAGGTCCGTGCTGAGAGCTGGGTGGCATTTGACTTGTGTCCCTAATTCACAGCACATCATAGGTGTTCAAGAAATATCCATGAAATGAATCGTGAAATACTGTAGCAGACAGAGCTCATATGTCATCCTGAAGTCTTAGAATGGGCCCAATGAGATACATTTTCAAGTTCTTTCCAACTTTAATCTATGATAGTTGTATTCGTGGTAGCCATGTCCAAATTGACTGCATGACCAGTAACATGTATGTAAACATAGAACTAACAAAATACAACCACATGACCTTACTAGGCCTCAGCTTCCATATGTTTTGTTGTTGGTGGTGGTAATGGTGGTAGGGGTTGAACTCAGGGCCTGAGCATTCGTGCTCAAGGCTAGTGTTCTACCACTTTGAGCCACAGCTCCACTTGCAGTTCTCTAGTGGTTAATTGGAGAATAAGAATCACGGACTTTCCTGCCTGGGCTGGCTTCCAACTGTGATCCTTAGATCTCAGCCTTCTGAGTAGCTAGGACTATAGGCATTAGCCACCCACACCTGGTGCTTTCTGCATGTTCTGGGAATGATGTTGGACAAGATCACATCTGATTTCTGCTGCTGATGTTCATGAAACAGAACTTGGCGCTGGGATTCAAGGAGTTGGGCAGCAGCGTCCCTTTCATGTGGTACCGTGCTACTACTGCTTCATGCTTGAGAGTTGCAGCTGGATGATGGAGGTGGGTAGCCCAGGAAAGCTAAGCGTGATGGCTTATGCTTGTAATTCCAGCTCTCGGAAGATCATGAGTTTGAGTAAGCTTAAACAACGTGGCAAAACCCTGATTCAAAACACAAGACAGAATGAAAAGAAATAAGAGCATGAATCCCAACCGGAGTGAAAACCCCCTCTCCTTTTGTGAGTGTGAAGTGAGGAGCCTTACAACACAGATGCCCCGCAGGAGGCACTGAGCCAGCCCATGAGTACAGAAGTTTGCTGGCTGCTGGCACACAGCCTACCTTTTCATTCTTCTCCTATCTCCTGTTTTTCATTAGTGCACATTAATTGTGCAATGGGGGGCTCTTTTGTGGTATTTCCACAAATGCATATAATATACACTGGTTGGATTCACCTCTCTGGTATTCTTGCTTGTCCCCTTCCTCCATTCCCTTTTTATCTTTCTTGCATTTTTTCCCACTTTTCTTCATTCTATGTATATTTAACCTGTATCAGGTTCGCCATATGAAACAGAATGTTGCAAGTACTTAGAGATAATTTTCGTCTCCCAACAACCTAGTAGAGGAGTAAGGCCTTATTGTGTCCATTTTACAGAAGAGAAAATTAACACCCAGAGTCATACAGCTAGTAAGAGGAAGAGCTAGGCATTTGAAACAGGAATTTCCTATGACACCAGGCTTTAGTTCAGTGTTTGTCCCATGTTTCCTGGTGGCTCTATTGGCAGAGCCATGGTGAGGGGCTATAGCTGCAGGTATGAAAACTCGGCTCTCCAGAGTCTCCAGCAGACAAACAGTTACAGTCTTTTTGGGGCAAAGAGTATTTTACTTAGAGCAGGAACAGAGGCAGGGAGGGTAGACCAAGTTCCCAGGGCAGGATGGGATGCTGGCAGTTTAGGGAACCTGTAGAGAGATAGATGGAGAAGAAAGCAGATCATGGAGTATATCAGAGGCCATGTCAAGAAGCTTGTGCTCCTGACTACATCTGTCCAAAGCTTGCTGGCCATATATAGACCAGCTTCTTGCCCACTCTCCTTCAGCCCCGCACTGACTCTCTGATGATCCAGTTTTCAGTCACATCCATTTCCGGCAGACCTAATTCTACTGAATCTAGAGTGCTAGATTTGTTTCTTAAAGGGAAACTTCACAGATGGTATCTCTGGATGCTTAGAAATAAGAATAGAATTATGCTCAAATATAGAGTCACCACTGACATTTAACCAAAACAGAGAGGGATAGTTCCTGGCTCACAGTAGACTTACTTATATAACTGTCTAGTCTTCCCATTGTTTGAATGTCTCCTATCTTCTGTATGTAATACATATATATATATATGTGTGTGTGTGTGTGTGTGTGTGTACATATATGTACACACACACACACACACACACACACACACATAGTCAGTACTGAGGAGTGAACTCAGGGCCCAGGACTGTCCTTTAGCTTTTTTGTTCAAGGCTGGAATTCTTTCACTTGAACCACAGCTCCACTTCCAGCATTTTGCTGGTTAATTGGAGATAAGAGTCATGGACTTTTCTGCCTGGGCTGGCTTCCAATAGCGATCCTCAGATCTCAGACATCTGAGTAGTTTTGATTGCAGGGATGAGATGCCAACACCCAGTCCCTGCATATTCTTTTGCAGTTTTGCTTCCCTCATTAATGAAAACCTTGGGGAAAAGACGCCATAGAGAATA